CCATCTAAGTCCATCAAAATCATATTCCGTGTCCCGCATAGCTCCTCCATCTTGACATTTTAAAGTTCTTAGAAAGCTATAAACCAACAGGTTTTTGACCAAAAACATTGAAAGTGGAGCCAGGGGGAGGAAATTATTTTTGCTGCCAGGTATTAGTTACATCTCCCATTCAATTACAGGGGTTTTAAAACTGTGGGCTGTGAGCACCAGGATTTTTGGTGGGGGGAAATACAGGGGTGAAGATGAAGAAATTTGAAGGAAATTACAAAATTGGTAAGGAATGTAAACATGCATAGCAGAATAGAACAAGCACTTACAAAGCCTGGATAAGTGCATCACTGGATAGTCTAACAGGGTTCTGGTGGGGATCCAAGCTTAAGTATCTGTCATGTATATGCCAGGGCTTAATTACTGTCCAACTGGAAACACAGGGTTCAAAACCTGTGGTGCAAGGCTCTTGCCCTCAATGTGTGGTGTGTTATCTAGGGCTAGATAGCTGTTGGGAGTTCACTCCTGCTCTGGCTGGTTAAACCAAAAGGAGGGTTGAGATTTTCTGCAGCCGCTTCTATGGAGAATGCATGCCAATCAAGATAAAATGGGGAGGCAGAGTGGGCAGTGGGGAGGCAGAAAGAGTGGCTTTCTCAAAAGTAGGGTGCACATTTCAGGGACTATAGGCGCCTGAGCAAGGTCATCTTTCCCACTGAAGAAAATGGCTTTGAAATTAGATGTTTGTTGTATGTACGTATGTATGTACATACACTGTTTCTCCAACAATACGGCCTCCCCCAATAGGAAGTCCCAGCATGTTTTATAGGCATGAAATGAAATTAAGCCCCTGCCCCCAAATTAAGGCCTATATTAAAACATGCGAAATGGGGGGAATGGTGGGGGGGCTTGCCGTTAGGAAGTACTTTTGTTGCACACCCGGATATGGTGCTGCCTGCGTTGACCCTGATACGAAGTGCCCCACCAACACCGAGGTCAACATCCAAGCCGTCACTGTCCGCCCAAAGATGCAAGGGGGGGGGAAGTAAGTCACCCCCAAAAAGACAACCTAGCCATTTTTTCGGGGCTCAAAAAAAAATAAGGCCCGGCCTTATTATATGAAAAACATGGTATGTATGTATGTATGTATGTAATTTGTGAATAGAATCCAGGTTCCACTCCTCCTGTATTGTTTTGTATGCTCCATAGTTTGAAATGTGATGACTGAGGTTAGATGGTATCTTGATTCTTGCCCAACCTTAGTCCCAATCAAACCATTGGTTTAAGGTCAGGGGAGGGAACCTCCAAGTTTGTCCTTTGGAGGAATTGCTGTGCTACAAACTTCCCAGAGTCTTGTATAACTATATAAGCTCAAAACAACTAATCAGCTTAGCTTGCTTGCCTGTGAGAAGGGACGCGATCATTAATGCAACTTCTGTCTTTAATTTGTCATCCCTAACAACAGTTGTGGTTTTGCCTTCCTGTCAAGTCAACACTCCTGGGTTCCTTCACCACTTTCCACTGTTCGCAATCCTAGTCTAATTTGTGCACTCTATCCTCTTAATTCATTAATTAATTCATACCTAGTTCTATATCTTCAATGTGTGCACTTTCCTTCTTCATCCTACAGAATTGTACTGCTTCCTGCTTTATTCGATGTGAACTCATCAGCTCTCCACAGAGTTACCACCTACTCTAACCTCCTGAGAAAAAAGCTATGAGATCAACTCTTCCTTTTTTTAAAAAAATCCCAGGAACAAGGGTTTTGTCAAAACAAAGTAAGGGTATCTTTACTTCATATGAAAGTAACTGGGATTTAAGAAGCCCAGAGTTTTTCTATAGAATAAAAATGGCAGGCTGCTCCTAAAAACCATTTCCGTCATTTTTGAATAAAAATAAAACAAAACATTGGTGTTTTATAGGCACTGAAGAGATGCCCATAAGCCTGCCTGCCCTACGCCACTTACACATTACTGCAAGACACATACATAAGAGGGGCTATTACATGTACTTTCTACTGTAGCAACTAATCATTCTTTCAAGTGGCTTTTAATTATATTCAGCTATGTCTCCTTATTTTCCTCAATACACACCTGCTTATGTAAGCTTACATAAGCCATGATTTGCCTAGCATAAAAGGCACTAACTCAAATTTATAACTCCTCTGGTTATTTTTTCTAGAACAAATCAATGGACCCCAGATGTTTCTATTTGCATCTATCATCACCTTTCTAATTGTAAGGTTTACAGAGTATTTTTAAGAGAAACTACATGCCTTTGATAGAGTACTCTTGGGAATAAATTTATTTCTCAAATTAAAAAACTCCTTATTTCCAAATACAAGTTTATAGTACCAAATAATTCTGAAATCATGAACAATGTTCAGCCAAATTAGGGATTTCTGAATCTACAGTTCTTATATATGGGGTATAAATATAGTGCTTCAAATGATGTAATTTCCCAAATAATGATTTTTAGCATTACATAACTTTTTTTTCAGCCAATGGAGGAGAAGAGCATCCCTTTCCCTTTGTTGTATAGAACAGTTCAACAGCAAGGTATATAAAGGTATATATAAAAATTGGAAAGTTAATTACTAAAAATTAACTTTCCAATTAACTTGTGAAAAAGAAAAATGTGCACTAAGCTAGTGAACCAAATTGTTATCTTACACATGTGCTACTTTAAAAAACTAAAACTGAATTCTCCAAACTTCATATAAAACCTATAATGGACATTATTATTTGGTGGGTTTCTGGTTGCAGTATTTTTTTTTATAATTGAAAAACAGGTAGTTCAAACACCAGAAATGGTCAACATTACCTAATCAATACAGTCAACCTGAGCAAGCAGCAAGTGACTACTTACTACTCTACTATGTATAATATACCAGCCTTTTTCACTATATATCATAGCATATATATTTCTGATATGTTTTATATGATGCAATAGATCATTGATTAAATAATTTATTTTGTACTAGAAACTATAGAAATAATAATCAGTGTTTCGGACTCATTCCCAATGCAGTTATGACACACAGACCAGTACATAATACGGAAAAGAACCATATGTAAGAACATTTTTAAAGGTACATCAATTCTGAAAACTGGATTTTAAGTGGTATTTTGTGTTCACTTAATTCACTAAAGCTTATAGACTTCGGCAGGAAGAAGTGCAGAGTTGGATGCAGAATTAAACTTGTATAACCTTTACAAAAGCAACGGTATATATAAGACTATAAAATCATTTCAAGAATAAAATCTTACATCACTTAAAGGTTTTGTTGAATTCAATGGTGATAATAAATTTCATCACATGAATAAGCCTACAGCACCCAAATGATAATTTCTGCTTCAATCTAGTGAAAAAATATAGTTTAAGCTTTTCTTTTCTAGAATACTCCATGAATCAACTAAATAATTTATCTCTGACTGGAAAAGATCTAACATGTGCGTAAATCACAGCAAATAAACACCTCTACAAAAAAACATAAAATCAATCCATTAAAAAATGAGTCTAAAACCAGAAATATTTTTCCTTCAGGCTTTATAAGAATCAATTAAACAATACAGCAACAAAGTTCCTTCCTGAATATGGCATTCCATCTTGACTGGGACTATTTGTACAGAATTTATGAGGAAAAAAGTAGGGATTAACATACTGGATAATAACTGACCAATAATCAAGTTTCAGTTCAAGATGCATACATTTATGCTGCAAAAGAATGGAGGAATTTCCTTACTTGTCATCTGAAAAAATTCTGAATGGCATATGTCCAAGCCATCTAAAATATTCAGAAAAAAATGTGAGGACAATATGCACAGAATAGAGAAAGGAGATGAGGAAGCAGAGTGCTTCAAAGTCAAAGCAGATATAACTATTATCACAGGTTTTTCTTTTCTGTGGCAATGGAAACCACTGGGAAGAGATAGGGAATATTTTCCCTAAAAGGATGCTTTAAAATCTCCATGATTAAATAGATGCCTTCTTTTTAAAGAATACCAATCTAGTTCATCAGATTTCCTCTCAGAAAAGGAAATTAGGACTGACAAAGAAACCAGATTTTGACAGACTAATCAGGAAAAAGTGAAACACTTTCAATTAAAGTTGGCAACAGTTTAATATTTATGCACTTGTTCATACAGCAAGTCAAATATTAACTGCTCTTAACACAAAACCTGTGGGCTACCAATAACTTTAAAATTCTTTTACTGCATAGAACATGTTTACCCATCAAGAAGCTACCTGGCTGAAGAAAGAGCTTGCTATTTTTGACAGTGTAAGTAAAGTAAAAAAGCTGTTTAACGTGTATTTAACATGGGGGTGGGGGGAAGGGAGGGAGAGGGGAATATTTTGAGAAGGCTTAATTAGAATAGGCATCTGTCTCCAGCAGGGTAAGTTCTCTGGCAGGAAAGGAAGTTGTACCTGGCTTAAACAAACGAATCACAACCCAGCATTCCCCACCGCAACCCAAACCACAGTCCACAATACTTCTGCGAAATGAATTAAATACGGTCCATCGCGACGATTTAAGGTGGTGGGCTGGAACCCGCCGCACCAAAACAAAAAACAAAAACCCAATTCGTAGGCTCGCCCAACTCGCCCCCTTTCTATAAGGCAAGGCCAGTGTGCAAGCTCACCACAACATCTCTCACCACACGTTGGCCAGCTCCGACGCCTAACTCACGTTGGGAAATGTCCGGTGTTTGTTAAAGAGGGGAAAGAATGAAAAGAAGAAAAGGGCATCCGCAAATATCAGGGCTTGAGAATCCTGGCTTGTTGTCCAGAACCCCCCAACCCTGGCTTGTTCCTGTTAGGCAGCTGTTTACCCAATACTCCAATTCAAGGAGTCCGTCTGAAGAGACGTACCAGCCTGATCAAGAGGTGCCAAGAGGGAGGAAGAAAAGAAGAAAAGAACTGATCTAAGAGAGTGAGAAAGTGGCGTGCCGGGAATGTCGGAATGTCCCCCCCGTGGCCACCCGCACCAGCTGCGCCTTCCAGGTCCCTCTTACCAGGCTCCTCGGGCTGCGCGCTCCTCCTTTCCCTCGCTCGCACCACCGGACTCCCTGCGTGGGATCGCCGGCGACCGACGACTCTGCTCAGGGGTTGCTGCTCTCTCTCGCAGGAGCGACCGCTCCGCTTCGGCACCGGCGAGGCAGCAAAAACGAAGGGACAGCGGGAAGGGCGAGAAGCAGCAGCCCGAGAGGAAGCAAAGCTGCGGAGTCACACAGCAGCAGGAGGAGGAGGAGGAGGAGTGGGGGGAGGAAAAGAGGGAGAGAGAGAAAGAGAGAAGTTTTCAAGGCAGCAGCGAAAGCGCCTCCGGTGCCTCTGAAGGGCCGTGCTCAGTGCCCCATCGGCCCGCGCTCACCGCCCCGGGGGCCCCTCGGGAAGCGCTCCTAAAGCGGCCACAACCTTCCACGCAGGTTTACGGTCGCCGCAGAAAGAAGCTGAGCTCAAACCCGCTGCCAGGGCAAAGTGGCTTAGAGGCGGGAACCAAGGCCGCCCGGGAAGGGGGTGGCCGCTCTAGAGACAGGACTCCAAACTTCTGGCCGGCGCACGCTTCCCCGCTTCTCACCTGGCCGCTGGTCTCTTCTGCCAGGGCGGGCTTCTCGCCGCCTGCAGGAAAAGGAAACCTTCCCCTCTCAAAGCAACCGGGCTCGGCCTGGAAGGGCTTAGCGCCTCCCGCAGCAGCGCCGCATTTGGTATATCCCGCTATACAACCCACCCCTCCCTAACACACACATATACTCACTCCAACACAAACACTCTCTCTCTCTCTCTCTCTCTCTTAGACAAGCCGCACGCTGCTTTACCTAAAAGCAGCCAGGAAGTTACCAGGAAGTCCCGAACTTAACCAAATGCGCTCTGGTCGCTTTAGCTGGCTGAGGGAGCAGAGTTTGCCTCTCTCGTCTGTGGAAAAATCAAATCGCGGGTGCGGGTGGGGGTGGAGAAGAAGCGGCCGAGAGCCGGGAGGATCGCCCCACCACACGCCTTTGAATATCATGCACTCCTGGCACTTTTCCTTGCTGGTCGCGCAAACGGAAACGCTGCCCAGAGCTCAATGATGGCGATTCTGAGGAGAATCGTCTGTCTATATTCCACCTACTCGCGTTGGTCTCAGGTCTTTTCTTTCGGGCGCCTTTCGGGGCTTCGTGTTTTGTTTCCCGAGAACTGCTGGGTGTTTCCCACCCCATCCCACCCTTCGCTGTTTACACCGTCGCCGGAGAGCCTTCACAAAGCAAAAATGCGCCCCCCCCCCCCTCGTTCCCCAGGGCGCTGGGAGTTTGTCTCTAGTTCAGAAGGGAAGCAATCTTATTAACGCGGGTCTTTCGCTTTCCCGAAAAGAGTCGAGGGTTCACAAGACAGGGCTAAGCTTTTGGGAATGTGACCTGACTCTGAGGTTTAGCCATCCTAAGTCGCTGATGAGACTGACCTGAAAATACTGGCCATTCAAGGCAGGACAAGTCCCTCTGGATACTGGTGGAGATAGAAACTCAGACCAGAGGTTTTTTTTAAATCAATCTATCTATCTATCTATCTATCTATCTATCTATCTATCTATCTATCTA